CTACTAGGAGCAAGGACGCTGCTAGGAGCAAGGGCATCGCTACTAGGAGCTTCTGGCATCGCTACTAGGAGCAAAGACGCTATTAGGGGCTCCTGGTCTTTAGTAATGACATGAAGCAGGAATCCCACGAAGGCTGGGCTCACGCGCAGCACAGTGTTTTGAAAAAGACACAATTCCAGGGAAAGCCTGGTTCACATGCGTGCTACTTGCATGTCACTGAGGTGAATGACTTAGACAAGTACCTAGGCCTTTCATTCTACAAGGAGTTTGTAACCTGTACTACTTGAGCGTGGGATCCACTCGAAGCCGATTTGGACAAAGGGAAGTTCTTCCAACCCGAAAAGCATTGAAATCACCGGCCATCGTGGATGTTCTCCAGGTCTACTTCATTCAAACCCATTTGATGGGCTCATTTTCGTTGCCCCCACGTATGCCTAAAGTCTTATAGCACAACATGTCCCCCACCACCTACGTTTAACAGTAACCCCGGCCCTACCAAACAAAACAAACATATAGATCTTGTTTTTTGTTTCGGACTGTTGTGCGATTCTTTATCGGAACACTCGCCCGGGGATCTCGCAACTGGAAGAACTGGGCGCCCGGAACCAGCGCGATCGCCGCGAGGAGCTGGCCTCGACACCTGTCGACATCCCACCAGTACCAAAACGAGACCAAAAACGAATTCACCCTCTTAGTAGTTTGTATATACATAAAGACAGAAACAGTGGTTATAATCTAATGCTGTACAACTAAAATTCTCCCACTTGCCATGTTGCTTCGGATACCTCCTTCGCTCACAAAGGCTTGGATCGGATTCCAGCAGCTCAGCATCTCTTCAACGGAGAAGCAGGCGTATCACACGCACTCACACAGAAGGTGTTACCACATGTCCGAACCCTCCAAGCCCTTATTATTGAAATATATAAATTAATGTGTTTTATTGGAATTATTGCTGTATATTGTAGGGGAACTGGGCCATGGGTGTGCGATAAATTTAGTGTCATTCTGGAGTGGCTATCCAGAATATGTCTAACATTCTATGGCTCTTGAGATGCCTCATTTCCATCCTCTTCTCCTGCTGGGCAAAACAAATTTTCTGGGTCACGTGCCTTGTCGCTACCTTCAAAATACCACAGCACCTGATCCAACTTTGCATGCCCCTTATTTATTTGGTTGTAAATTCACACATGACACAAGCACAGTTCAACATGCTACCACCAGCGATGCCTGACAGCGGCATGCCCAGGCTGCTAACCTGGCGAAACCGTGTGGACAGGCGCTTGGAGGGCATTTATCCTACGAATCAAGAAGCAGGTTTGATGCTTGTTCAAAAGGGACAGTTACACAATGGCAAAAGAAATCAATCAAGTCAAGGGAATTCAACCAGCCACGCATATCTACTTGAAAGAGGGGACAAAGCCTCCCAAATCTGCAAGAGACAAGCTCGACAAATGTGCCACGAGCTCTTCACCAACCCAAGTGCACAACTCACAACATACAGAGGCTTTGTCAACTTTGATTCTAGTCAGTCGGAGTGTACTTGGATGTGTACATTATGCTACGGATATCCATCAAAACATGTATCACTATAATATCAAATTGCATCAGCAATACTACAATGTGGATTAAACACATACTGATGCTGAATGTGCATTTCTAGCATCACTAAAGAATCTCAATACACCCATCCACCACCCGGATTTAGTGATAATTATTGTGCAGGTTGAGCGATAGTAATGCGAGCGTTGGTCCGGGTTGTCTTTGAATTCTATCGATCTTGAATTTAATTAATCCTCAAATTCGCTTGGCATCGGGTTGGTTTCTTCTTCTCCAAGGGCTGATCGCTGCATGCGGCCTGCCGCAAAGTGCGGCAAACAGCCTCTGCCTCTGCATGCGCTTTGTGGATGCCCACTCCATTCAATTCACGGATGGTCTGCACCGTTGTCGCGTCGGGTGGGTGGGGAACCGAGGAGTCAGCACTCGATCAAACCGAAGTACTTAGAGATTGTTGCCTGCCCAAGGTGCCCAATGTTCCATTTTGTAGATCGAAGCAGATTCTTCATGACATCTACAAAACTGAGCGCAACGGGAACGCAGTTGCCGGCACTTTGGCTCAAAAGCACTTGAGCGAGTGGGCGCAGCCTGTGTTCTTTGCAGTGGCACGTGGCCAATGGAGAATGTTGCATTTCCACGCCACTGCCACCACCTTCGCATCAGATTAGGGGCTTCTGGGCCTTGGGTTCGCCCAAAGCCACCGGGAGAACGCAGCTGAAACAAAGACAAGCTCGTGAATTGATTGATACCGTCATTACCATCATTGCTTTCTCAAAACATAGTGTTTCAAGATGCATCACATGCATATCTTGTGCAAATATGCCTTGGGGGGGTTGAAACTCATAGATATTTGACTTTGCGCCCGTCCACACACAACCGGTTTGGTGTCTTGTGGTTCTCACATTATGGAACATTATATAGCGAAGAAGGCTCCAAAATACACACATCTGTCAACGAGGTTTCGCGTGAATCCCGGCATCCATCAACCTCCTCTCCCATCCATTTGGTTCGTTCAAACCCGTGGGAACCTTCGTCTGGTCCCACGGTCCCACCTGTTCCTGGAGTTCCACGTCACCCAGATTGCAGGCGGCATTCAAGAAGTGCTTGGCACTGGTCTGGTGGTAGTGCCTCGTGGTGATGGTTGGCGAGCACTGGGCGCCATGTCTCGTGGCCACCAGGCCAAGTGGTGAGTCTTTTTTGGTGAAGTCCGACCCGGTGATGGCCGGGTGGGAGTCTTGACTATAACAAGATGAGGCAAGTGAAAAAGACTTGTTGAACACACATCTCAGTGAAGCTGGGGGCAAACGATGGCGTGCCCGTCTGCTTTCGTGCCGTTTTGTGCCTCCAAGACCTGCCTTCCCCATCTTCCAAGACTTCCCCGCACCACCTAAGTGAGTGATGGATAGACATGGATAGACCATGACCCAGCAATACCCAGCCTCCAAACCTTAGTACATCCTTGTACCATACTATGTGATGATGATTCCCTACTTTAGTTCCTTCCGGCCCCGAAGCAAGAGGCAACATATCACAAACCCTATGAGGGCACTCAGTTGCTAATGAGGGCGATGGACTATAGATCGGTGTTCCAGTGTGGGGATTTGACGTGTCTGCTGCTGCTGCTGGAGTAGTCGTAGTAGTAGTAGTAGTAGTAGTAGTAGTAGTAGTAGTAGTCGTAGTAGTAGTAGTCGTAGTAGTAGTTGTTGTTGTTGTTGTTGTAGTTGTTGCTGTTATTGTTATAAAATTGATGTTGCTCTTGTAAATCTGCCTCGGGTTCTTTGATGTTTTGCTTGCTCATACTTGCTGTGTGCAGTATATGGTGCCTCAATGGGCATCGGGATCGCCGTGCTATCCAAAGGCGCTACGGAAATCCACAGCGAAATCCATCTAGCCCCCGAAGCTGGATCGCAGGATCGAGTGGCCTGCAGCCTAGGACCGGATCGTGGCCTCTATTTTGGACCACCCACCGACCATCAAAAATACGATCTGTTCCTATCAAACACTATAGGGATATCTAGGGATCATGTCTGGGCTCTGCTAGGCATATCATCCACAACATGAACAAAATTCTCCCCTGCTCACGGTGCGTCTCCGTGTTCCACGGCCGCGTCCGGACGCGTCCAAACTCGTCTCCCCTCAGGATCCAAACTCGACGTCGCGGGGACGCCCAGGCACCTGCAGAGGTGTCCGATGATCAGGGAGACCACCGTGGCGAAGACAAAGGCGGCAAAGCCTCGGGTAGAGTCTCCGTGGCGTCTCCGCTTGGTGGAAGAGTCGTGTTTTGTCGGGTGGTGGGATGCCGGGTGAAGAGCGAGAGTAGAGAACAATCTTTAAGAAGACCGAACAAGCACCCAAAAAGGGCTTCGGGTAGAAGCTCGAGAATTATAGGTTGTTGGATTACTTTTCACAATGAATGGAAGCTTGAAGTGTGTGATGTATGTACGTGTATGATCGTGTATGTAGGTCGAAAATGCGGCTTTGGTCGTTGGAACCCTGTCAGACTAGTCGGTAGTGCTTTGGGCACAATCGATTGGTGGACATCAATCCAGGACTGTGTCAAAGCGCTTTAGACTTCAAGATGGCCAAAACAAGTGGCAGCAATAAGAGCATCAAACACCAGCCCGCATGATCCTAGGTTGTCTGTAACAACCCAATTTGCCAATGACACCCAATGAGGCCTGTGCTTGACAAATCAAACTGAGATGGTAGCTGCTATAGAGTTCTGAGTCTCCAGTCTGAAGCATACTGAAATCCCTCCCTCTGCATATTTAGTGAGCAAACCTGGAATCCACAATAACTTGCAACACTGATTCAACCGGATATCCCTGCAACCCCACCAACCTTCTACCGCTTCTAGGGCTCAGGGTCGAACATGTCCAACACCCCATGGGCAATTATCTGCTTCGTCCAACAGCTTTCACCCTTTCCGCTGGGCCTTCCGACCCAGCTCCTCATTCGTCCGCAACACCATCCGCAGCGGCGCTGTTTCGCTGCCATTGACCCCAGAGACCTCTGGGCGGGCGGGAAGTCCGTCTCAGCTCCGACAGCCCTTGGGGGTCCTGGAAATCCATTGGATTCGCTCAGCCTCAACCGATCCTTGGGATCGCCTCCCATGCTGCGAAGGACGCGAATGAGCTGTCCACGAGCGAACGTCCCTGTTTTCAGCCGGCAAAACACATCGAACAGGTGTTTTCTTGTCATTTTTGGACAGGACTTCACCCCGAAAAAGACATGGACAAACTAAATAAGCATCCAGGTACCGCAAAACCACAGGCTGAGGCTGTTGATTTAGCGGTGTCCAAGCTGTGGCCCGTCCCACGCGGGACGCCGTCCACCTCGATATGGAAGACGCCGCTCAAGAACTGGACGGTGAACACGTCTACCAGCCTCAGAAGGTGTCGGGCCTAAACGAAAAGGACTCATATTTATGGCTTGCAACGGCTTGCAACCAGGTGATCATTTGCAGATCATGTCGGCAAGCATGGATCGATATAGGTGGGAAGGATATGATTAATTATTGGCAACAAGTGATTGATAGTGATTGAACTCTGGGCATTTCCTGAACATTATTCCCTGCTTCATAACGTCATCACTGTTGTTCTGATCATGTGTTCGGGAAGTTTTTACATACGGGTGTTTAAACAAACCGTGTAACATCTTGTAGCACTTACAGCTATATATTGGAACCAAATACTACACTCAAAACGAAAGCCCCTGGCTAAGCGGCTATATTGATCCATATCTGTCAGCATACCAGCGTTTCTCCTTTGAACACCTGGCAGCTATACAAAATCTCAAGTATACACCAACATATACCAAAATAGAATTGTACAAACACAAAACGCAAGGGACACTTGGGCACCAGAAAAAATAGTAAAACTCGCCCAGAGTAAGGGCTCCATCCGGGCAGAGCATCGAAGTCCATTCGCTCTCCCGCCAGTTTTTTTGACGTGATACATCCTAACCTTTTGTGTGAGCCACTCGAGCGGTTTTGAATGTGTTTGGAAGCATACCGGACCTAGGAAGCGACCCGGTCCGAAGGGGAGAACGTGCAGGCAGTGCTAGGTGCTAGCTGTCCTGCTCGCACGGTGTCCACACCCCTGCTCTGATTCAGCCCGTCGTCATTCTGCGTTACTGGAGGTTGAAATCGGCCACCAATCAGCCTCCTATGATGAGGATCAAAATTTGCCAAGGATCAAAAGCAGGAGCAGCTACTTCCCGTGCATGGCTGCAGGTCCAGTTCTGGACAGTTGTGGCTAAGTCGTTGGATTAGCTTCAGGATCACATGTCACAACTACCTCTGCTAGGAGTGAGTTTGGGCAACCCGGGCGAGAATTTGCCAATGTCGTCCATAATGACCTCATCGATGTCTGCTTTGGCGACGCGAGACAAAATGCTAGGTCCATGCAAGCTGGAGCAAGCTGGTTGGAGCTCCAATGAGTGAGTCGTGTGGGTTTAGAGAGAACCAAGGGGGGTCCCGCAAGCCTCAAATTGTGGGGCGCTATGGATGTGATGTACTTGGTTCTCTGTAGTTGGTTTGGTATGATTGAATAAAAACATGAGTCGCACTGGACATGTATTTTGTTGCGATGCTTTTGGTCACCCTCCCCAATCAACAACAAATATATACATTCTTATGTCAAGGGCAATGCGGAACAAAGTAAGATGAGATAATGGTGATTTGTTTAAGTAGCTCAATGTCACATCTGAATCTGAACAAGTTATATATATAATGATATTGACATTGATGATATTGGAACAATGGCTTTGTAGACATCCTTTAAGGATCTTGGCCTGTAAATCCGGCAGCCTTTGGGGGGCAACTTCAAGTGTTGGTGGTGTGGGTGCACAGGACTGCAAACTACCACGGTTGGGGAAACATGTTTCGGGAAAAAGCTCCAACCTACCTCATCAAGTGCTGAACAAACACAATTAAGATCGCACTCATTCTCACCCATCTAAGATGGAACTTCCGAAATCTCACAGGAAAAACAACTCTGGGTGGTGCTTTTCGTTCCTTCTTCGCAACTCGCAAAACATGTTCTCCACCCAGCGATGTCCCAGGCGATGTCCCAGGTGCCACGATCCAGCTTCGTAGCCGTAGGGGAAGGAGTCGACGAGGCGTCAACCAACAAATTAACATCATCACCAGTTTCACATACCTGAGCACGGCTGCTCCACGAGTGCACGGGTGCGGCCAGCACTGAAAACATACCTTCAGAAGGCCCCCCCGCAAGATGTCTGTGATTTGCACGTCGAAGTCGCGAGATGTCAAAGGTGTGGTCATCCGAAACAATTGTTCAACAAGTGCGGCGGCATAGACCTAAAACATCCTAAAGCCATTCTACAGCTTCAAACGTGACATTATGAGGGTCCCTAAGTGACCCTTTAGAGGCTTAAGTCACCTCAACCCAGGATTTTAGTTCTAATTCTTCTGAATTCTGGCCTTTTCCTGTCTCAAATGCGTCCTTACTTTTTCAGGAGATTTTATTCTCTCCCCGAAATTGAAATCCTGCCCAGTTGCGGGAGAATCGCGGAAAAGCAAAGCAGCACCCAGGACATCGCCTGGTCCAAGCGGAGCCAAGACCCCCATGTTTTGGTGAGAGGAAGGGTTCTTGAGGATGGACTTATTGTACTTTTTGTGATGATGTCAATGGCTAGGATGAGTGACTGAAGAAGCGCTTGTTTGATTTTGTGTAGCTGTGGGTCAAAAGCAGTACTCTCCAAACCATGGTAGTAGGTTGATATCACTTACAGAGGACTCTGTTCATTTCTCGGTGGTCGAAGTATGATTGATCATTCTTCAGTACCCTGGTGAGGTCCATCTGCACCCGCTCTCTGGTGGTCCTCGTGCCACCCGGCGGCCGAAACAAAAAAAACACGATTCAACAAAACACTTAAATTTGGCATCTCATAAAGAGTGCTTTCATGCTTCTGGTAGGACTATATTTTAGTCTGTAGTCCCGCGAACTTTCATATGTTTCTTCTTTCGTTGTTTCTTTCGCACGTATGGCGTCGATGCCTGGAGATGCGCTTCGTAGTAAAGAGCATCGATAGAATAGAAGAGCGAGTAGACCATCACCTGGCGCTCAGAAGGGAAACCAAAGAGGGGAGCTTCCAAAGCGCCATATACTTGCTGGCGTTTCTTCAAAACAACATCTTTTTCGACGTTTTTGCACGCGCGAAGACCAAAGAATTCGTGCCTGGTAGGCGTTCCAAACAAAGAATGGCGCCTCGCAAGGTGAAAGCAAATTCATGTAGGTCCCATTCGCACTGCCAAGATCCCAAAAAATTAAAATTCTTGGTTGGCTTATGTAAGGGGAATATCCAAGCCATGACAATGCAAGGAAAACCTCAAAACGCACTACAGTAACAACTGGTTGGTGGTCGGTCAGGTTCTGCCTCTGTAGGAATGGGAGTTATGTCCACTGGGCAACGCTAGAGAGGCAGTTGTTGCCACATTTGATGTAAATCACTCTTGATTAGCAAAACACCTTCCATTAGATCATAAAAATCCGGGGGTTGAAATACAATCAACAGTCTACAGTCTACATTGCAAGCCAAGGCTGACGTTGTTCGTTCCCCGCATCTGTCACTGGGATCCACCACAGCCGGACATTGGGGACCATGGCAGCAGGGACACCTGCTCCAGGTTCACGAAGGTCTGCGCCATCAAGAGGTAGTTCGACCTGCAAGTGAATGCTATAATAAATTCACCTGGATCCGGAGGAATTTCCGGCTACAAACATCTACAAACCATGGTCGGTTGATATCCCATGCAGAGGACTCTCTTCATCTTCGACGGTGAACCATGGTTGTATACGGGGTTTTGACCCCATATTCATAAATGGACCCTTACAAGCAAGCCGACAGCACATGTTTTGTGCAGTTCGGACTCAGTTCTTGCCGTTGTCCTTACATGCTGGCCGTCCATGCCATTCGAACACCGGTGGCACGCGGAAGTTGTGCTCCCACACCCCAGCAGGAAGCACAAACACGCCAGGATGAGCACTGGGAGCATGACCTGGATCTGAAGAGCGATGTACAGAAGCGATGCGATGAAGCACGAGCGACGTGCAGAAGGGAAATCTGATGTCGAATTCCAAGCAGAACTGACGTCTACGTGGTACTCCAACTATGGCTGATGGCCGAAGTATCCACCAGGCTCTTTGGGATCCTAGGCATGTATTTTCATCACAGTCTCTGCCTTGAGCAACGACAAACAAGAGAAATAAATCAATAAGTAATCGTAAATAATCGAGCCAACACATGCCAGCACCCATCTCTCAGAAACAAATTTACCTTTGATAAAAAACACTACCCTCTCCCCAGTGAGGATCCCTGAGCCGAAAAAACCCTCCACCCTCAGTGCTGAACTGAGCTCATTCAGTCAAGACGCCGCTAGGCTTCGTGGCACGGTTTCACATTGACACAGAGCTCCGGAGAACCAGTGGGAATAGCTCCTGCCAGGGCCAAGCCAGGCACACTCACAACAACGACAATGTTCCATGGAAGATATGGAAGTGGATGGCATGGTTTCTGAGAAGACCATGTTCTTACATATAGGATCAAAGAGGGCTTCTCACCACGCGCATTGGTGCATTCAGTGCTTCGTGCACCAGGCTCTGTGCCAAGTCCCCCCAAAGCCCATTGGCTCGCCTTGGACCTCGCTTGATAGCGCCCAAGAGCAAGGCCAAGACAGCTGTGCCCAGGGCCACCCAGCAGCCTGGACAGTGGCCACAAAAGGAACAGCAATTGATAACCTTTTTAGTAGGTCTGTTTTCTGTTGCCGAACTAGTCCTAGCTACGGTAGTAGCTTCAATCTTGATGTGAATCAACTCGGGAGCTTGGCGATGACACCCTGGAGTGAACTCCCCCCCGCAGCTTTAAGCAAGGACAGGCTGGACAAACCCGATCGACGACGAGCTTGGGAGTGGCGCAGTGGTTCGGTATCAGGAAAATCATGGAGACTGTTGATCAATGGAACCCCCCAAAGTGGAGATGTGAAACCATTCTGCTATAGGGGGAGTCTCTCACAGTCAACATGAATTGAATTCCTCGGACTATCGAGTCGCTGAGGGAATTCAACTAATTAGTTCCTCCTCACGCATTTTTTTTCGAGTGCTCCAAGATCCCCGCTCAACGAATCACGGCACCTGCACAGATCATTCACCTCTTTCAGGGTCAGCTGGTGTGATGCTCCCGATGAATCGGCCCTGTTCGACCACCCCGGCCTCGTGGAGCGAGAAGGCACCGTTTTATGGGGAAAAGCCATGTGACCTGGGACTCCTCCGGATGAAGAATTATAGACAAACTGAAGAACATGTTGGATGAACTTAGCAACCATGGGTCAAGGGGGGGGGCCCGGGATGGGGCCCATGCAGGCCCTGTACTGCCAACGAGAAGCAAACTCTTCCAAAGGTGGGCCGGATGAGGATGCGCCCTGTCATGGGTCGAAGACTGAAAGTGGCATCGCCGGCACTCTGCACAGGACTTTAGCGTAAGACCTGTCCCAACAAAGGACCACTAACCCACCTTCAAAGCCTCTTGGTAAGCATATATACATATATAGCTACATCAAGATACCCTTCTGAAAATCGGCAAACATATTATTGCTCATCCTGAAGAAGCAACATAAAAATCGCCAGTTCCTCGAAGCAAACAGGTTCCTAACGACTAGACTGGGCGACCTTCTAAATCCATTGGCTGTCCTGGCGGCTCGCTGCCGCTCTTCGTCGTCCGCGGCCTGTGGGATCGTAAACGCCTTGGCCTTTGGGAAGAGGACAGGTCTGGTGCTGATACTTCGTGAGCCAATGGCCCATGCCTTGGGTGGAGTGAGGACATCAGTGGAATTCCACCGTGCGTGAGGCAAGCACAAACCGTATCTCTTAGATGCAGCAAGCACAAAGGCCTTCCGGAAACTCCCACTTTCGGGGTCAGGCCTTGCTTACTTCACCACTGGTGACCGACTGAGTACGCCGTTGTAAACCGACGTATTTATAATAAATATAGACGTAAATAGTATATATATAGATATAGAATGTAGTATGAAATAGTGGATGGCACCAGATGAGTGGCTTGGAAGAAGACTCTCCATGCTAAGATGTTGGGAGAAAGACTCAGTATGAACTGCATGGCACAAGGGCGTTGCCTCAGGAATCCCCCAAAGATGGTAGCTCCATCTACTGCCATCTTTTGCACCATCAACTCACGACTAGACCGTAACTTGTTCAGTTTTTGAAAAAACAACCTGGGATACATAGCTATAGTATTCCAGCTTGCGGAGCTGCCGGCCAGTCGGGCATCTGGTATAACCCCCCCACATAAGCTCAATAATATCGATGCAAACTCAGTTTCCTGAGGTCATGACATGCAAAAATGGTTCCCGTACTTGCTCCGGTGAACACCATGGAACTCACTATATATGATGCATCATGATTAATCTTCCAAAAAAAATGCAAAAGTCGTCATAAGTCGTCTACAGCTTATTAAAGCCTACAGCTGCCTGATCTGGATGTGATAGACGATATCACAGCACCCAACAGAGCCTTGCGGTGTGGACAGTGCCACGGCGCGGAGCGGTGCGCCGCTCGCTCGGAGCGATGTCGAGGCGCTTTGATTCACCGCTGGAGCGAACTGATTCTGAAAGAAGCCTGGCGATGACGACAAAGGAGTGGAACACAGCTATAGTCAACACCGGTGCTCCAGGCATGATGCGTCATTCCTGAAGATCATCGGCCGCTGATGGCTTTTGCTGGATGTGCTGTGAACTCAAGCTGCTCAAACGAGGGATACCCCCGAAAAGCCCCCCTGACTCAAGGTTTTGCACCATAATGCCGAAAAAAAAGCACATCAATCATCAAATCTTGAAGACCAGAAAACGCCACCCCCTCACCCACATCGTCGCGCCTTCTAAGAGCACGGCACTAAAATTCTGTAAGCCGCCCGCTGGCGCTAAAAGCTGCCCACTGAGCGTCAAAAGGCTCGCGAGCAGCGACCTGCCGACACACAGTGACCAGCAGGATACATACCTGCGGGGAGTCGGTTGGAATTGGTTTGGTTGGAGTTTCGAAGCAGTTTGGAAGATGAAATGTAGGATGAAAAGTAGGATATGCAGGGAGCATAGCTTAATTACCAACTCTCTAGCAACTCAACAGAGGCATATTATAACTGCATGGATCGAATTTCTAAATACCAAAAAGGCCGAAGCTATCGATCCATATCTCCAAACGATCCACAACCATCACCGTTGTTGCTTTAAGGCATTCGTAAGGACTCGTTGGTAAGCCCGAATGAATTCACCAAAAGATCCTATTGAAGTGTTCAAGCAACGGAGAAAGCAGTCACAACAAAAACAGTAAAAACCTCAGAGGTCACATGTGGGGTGGTGTCTTTGTCCCATCCAGTGAGCCATGGGTTTTGTGACGTCCCGGATGCTGAGACGTCCTGGACGCCGAGACGAACGCTGAGACGTCCCGGACGCGACAAAAAACACGCCTGGCATCGCTGGAGAGTGCGATCTGCTCCAGCTGGAACCAGGTGCGGAAGCCTGACTTCTGCTCGACTGGAAGCTCCCAAACCATCGGAACGGGGGTGGAAGTGGTCTTCCTTTTGAAGTGGTCCTCCCGAAACAGACTAAAGGGGACTGGATGATTGATCATTGACCCTTAAAAACATCTCAACATCACCCCAACTGATCGACTTAAGATGCCAAACCCATGATGGATGTGTCTGTTTTGGTTAAATGGCTGCATGGGGTGGAACTTCGGAACCTTCCCAAGCCCTGAACATCCAAAAAATACACAACTGTTACATCAATCAATCATAAATAGGTGGCCCTTGTTCTTCCAACATGGCAATTGAGATTCTTCACATCTTCAAGTGGCTGTCTTGGGAAACTATAGTTGTTGGAGCCCACATGTGGACCATTTCCATATACACTCACAAACACATCACATGGAAGTGGAGGAAAACCCCCCCTCCCCTGGTAGAGGACTACTAGTCCTCCAAGTGACCATGCCATGCACGTAACCATGTGATGCACTCATCGGCACTCACCTCACCTCTGGGCCCTCCATCCGTGACCCGTCTCGACCCGTCGTCTCGACCCGTCTCCCCGTTGAAAAACTACACCGCTACGACCGAGCCCCGCACAACGCAGAGTTAAGCCGTGAGGGACCAAAACGGAAGCAGTGTCATCCACCATTGGTTTTGGGACTATGAATGGTTTCGGACCGAATCATTCGTGCACCTTATGTCCCCATCCAGTGGCCAAAGCCATCCACTTGCAGTGCTAAAGTCACTGGCTTGATCCTCCCCCGATCCACCATCCGTCTCATTTCCAACGCCCCTACCACTCGCTCCACCAACGAACGCGCGTTCCACTCCCTCCACGCCGCAGCTCGCGTCCCCTCGCAGAACCAGAATAGCATTCGGCGTCACAGTTAGAATAGAGCTCAGGTTTATGTTGTTTCAAATGAACAAATCTCACTGAGCCTCCTGACGTGTCAAGCTCAAAGCCTCTGTATGGGACCCAAGGCATTCGCTCTCCAAGTACCTCAGATTTGAACCCAGGACGGTGACGCGCTCACCACTGGGCCGAGGCAGAAGTGTAATCCATTCTAAACCCCACGTCAATTGAACATTTGCAGATTGAATGAAAACAACAGGACATCATACACAAACCACTCTTTTGCGTTCTATGTAGGGCCATGTAGGGAAAGTTCAGTGGGTGGAATGACCACCCGGAGTTATCTAGTACCTCCGAATCAAATCTTGAAAGCCATTGCTTATTCGACTATAGGGCAGCCAATACCAACAAAGACCACCAACGGAAAACAATGAGACGGTTGACGGTGGCCCAGCGAAAACAACGTCGCAGCATTCCTAACGTCAGTTTATGCTTGTTGTGGTATGCCTTTTTTTGTTTGGGAGACAGAACCTCTTTCCAAACGTCCACCCTGCATGAGAACGTCCTGTTCGTCCCAGCGGCTGAAAACTGGGCACTTGGCTGAAGCCTGCCTGATCCACTCCCAGGGTCATGTTGGCCTCACTGTCAAACTTACCCCACAAGTTCGAGCGGAAATCATGTTTGGTTCCCGAATTATTATGGGAGAAAGCTCTTGGGCAGGGAAGTCAGAGGCGTGAAAAACGTGTGATAAAACTTAAACATTGAAAAAACCAAGGTAAAACCACAAATGAGGCTTCGGACCTCTTCAAGTAAAACCTCCAACAGGCTCAAGAAGGTACTGGGTGAATTGGGTGGCAGGAACCGAGTCGTGCAAGCAGTTAGGTTTTGTGAGCAAGAATGGGGACTCCTGGAATACTTAAATCCTTAGCTCGGTGTCAGGTTAGTCAAGAAACTGTAGCTTAACCTCACTCCGCCCCATCTCGCCAAATAACAATTTGGGATATGGTAAGCCCTCCCAAGACCATCTGCTTTCAAATCCACCAATAGTTGTACCTCATGAATGCTGATATGCTCTGTAACAGCAGAACCTAAACATGGCTTTCCTGTACACTCTTCTACAAAAATATCCATTCACCGCAGGAACCGCTGCCCCGGCAAACGCGGGGTCCGGCGAACCGCTGCCCCGTTTGCTTAAGATCAGGTCCATCGGGTCCCGCACCGCCATTCGCACCGCCGAGAAGGTCAAGTTCACTGCAACCTTGGTGTTGGATTGGTTGACCTAAAACGATGACACTTGGTGTTGGTTTTATAGGCGCATAGAGGTTCACTGTGCCAAGAAGCATCTATGGGATGTTGCTTGTTGTGACCCCCAAGCATGATGCGCTGTTGGTAAGCATGCACTGACACCCGCGTTTTGTTTTCTATACCTTGAGGATCACCAGCTACGCTACACCAAGACGTCAGGTCAAACACATGACAGTGAGTCCTAAAGAAGACGTTGAATGAGATGAACACAGGCCAAGTGATTGTACCATCTAAACTGGCGGCATATATATAATATATATATATATATTTTTAAGTCTATACTTTAGGCTCGAGAAGCTCTCCTACCAGCAATCAATCTGAAGATTCTGAAGTGGATAGATTTGGGATAAGCCATATAATATAACACAAACACCAATGTGACGTCGTGTGCATTTGTTGCCTTTTCAACACCTCATTCGATTAGGTTCAGTCCAACTACTCCAAAGTGTTTCATTGCGGCTCAAACTACATCCTGGGAAGGTGGTTGGGGGTTGGGTTCCAGGCCCTCTCTAACATGGTCTAAGTACCTGAGGTGGGCTCTTAGAGCCCTGAACATTTACACGTGTCTTGAACCTCACGACTTGCTTCGTCCCTCTTCACCGAACTTCACCGGTCGTCAAATCGGCCCAGCCACAGCTTCGGCAAAGGCTCCTTGCAGAGTGCCACCTGCCACAGTCGATCCCGAAGACCGGTCGTATTATCGCATGCCCTGGGATCGTCCTGGACATGTGTTGTTCATCCACTTATAATAAGAACTCCCTTTTGGGGAGGGAAGTATGAAAACATAGACACCCCGAGAAACATGAACCCAAACGTTTATTTATTTTTAAGCAGGTGGTGCATTCAGTTCACTGAGAGCACTGGCGCATGGCACATCAACTGTTCACATGGTTGCTGTTTTTGTTTGAGCCGCCTAAGAACTGCTCCAAGCCCTTGGGCATGTAGGTGATGTTCAATGTGGGCTGCAAGTGGAACCGCGAAGCAGACAAGTTCGCCGCCTGGGACGGGTCCTACGATGTCTCAGACTGGGCATCGCTACTAGGAACAAGGACGCTACGAACGTAGCTCCTGGCCTTACTAGTAACAAGAAGCTACTAGTAACAAGTGCATCGCTTCTAGTAACAAGTGCCTTACTAGTAGTAACAAGAAGCTACTAGTAACAAGAAGCTACGAACGGAACAAAGGGCACAAACTCAAACACCGACAAGTATGTTCATTCAGTGGCGGAGGGAGTATTGTGGCGCAAGACGCCTACTACCCAACCAGACGCTCAAACAGCCCTTGGTCCCCGAAGCCTAGCAAATTGCCACCCCTGACCGCTCCATATGAGGGTCCAGGGTCGCATCTGGGCAAAAGAAATAAAGGTGTGGCCTTGAAATGCTTTGGATATTGTTATATATATTGTCTGGCAACTTTTTGTTCAATGAAAAGGGTCGGAATAGTGGGGTTTGCCCCAATCGGTTTACAGAAATCCAGATAATTCAGGCAACATCAACATCCCTTCTTCCGCAATCTTTCTGAATGATTCTGTCGCTTGCTCCGGTGGGGGTTCCAGGTGCTTCCATGTTGGTCCCCAAAAGGGCATACCATGCCTCAAACATGGAAGCAGATCATGAAAAGTGGAACGTCCGATAGTCTCCTTGTGAGATCTGTGCAAACTGTGTCCTTAACGACATATCCACCTGGTTTAACCAATTCCATTGACCCTGCTTGGTCCCAATTCCGTTCCAGTTTAAGCCCATAGCTCCGAATCCATGCAAAAGCCCTCCAACAGAATTGTTTTTGAACTCATTGCCTTAGCACGTTCTACTATGTTCGATCTGTTCGATGGCAACTGCAAAAGGAAACATCAAGAAGGGGACAGAAGTAAGGGAAGCCAGACTGAGAACAGACCATCAACATGCTTTCTTGACTTGCCGTCCGAGAGCTGCGCCAGCAAGAAATCATCAAGAGGGGAATCTAACCATTAGAGGGCAGTTGGCAGTTTGGTCTTCACTTTCTTTTTCCTGGCCGATTTGTCCTGCCCCGGGAGCTTTAAGAGAGGTTTCTCCACGATCTGCAAGACATATTAACCTCTAGCACTCCATACTAGGTAGCCAAAACGCCCAAAATGAGTAGATCTCGAAACTCCAGCAAACAAAGCAGTGTCCAAAATCGTGTTTAAATGGCAAACTAATGTTGATATCTTGGTTCGCTTTGCTGCGAATAGAGTGGAATTGCTTTCGAATGAGTGTAGCCAACAATCCATCCCAGGCGCGATGGAGGCATTCTGCAACATCAGCGGGGTGATAAGGAAGTCGCCTCTGTCCGAACTTGGACAATCAACATCCAATTGTTCATAGGACCGCCTTCAAGACCAATTCAATCTATTCTAAGATCTATGGCCTGTGTACAAAGTTATCGCCACACAAGAAAGTAGATCTATCAGGCCATTTGTTGGGATTCATATATCATATGCATGGCGACGACCGCAACAACAACATTAACAGCAACACATTCGACGACAAGGCAATTGAGTGACCGGGAAAAGAAGCATTGCAAAAAGCTCGGCTCATAACGCAAAGCTCACGCAAAGAACCTCTGGGGAATTTCCATCGTCCAGTCGTTTCAATGGGGTGTCTACTATCCACCGAACCCTCATCAAGAACGACCCCTGGAACGGGCTGACCGCGGTGTCATCCGCGGCCGCCCAACACCTGATGACCATGACGCTCCAAATGCCAAAGTACGAAACTGCATGTCCCTGCAACACTTCTTGTTTAACTTTGAGCTTGCAGTGGTCTGCGACTGCAAGCTATCCTGCAAAACTTCTGTAGCTTAGAGAAAGGTTGAGCAATTATCCTTGAAGGATCATCCTTATCATGGTCAGAATTTAGTTCATCCGACTATCCGGACATGCGTACATAAGTATTGATCAGCTCCCCTAGAAAAGGGTTCTGAATCCTTCCTCGCCAAGGGGCTCATATTCCACCGCATCTCCGGCAAGACCAAACCAAAGCTTCCGTTCGGAGCTGCGCAGTTCTTCGTACTGTTGCCCAGCACACAAATCTGCGGCAGCTGCGTGTGTCGCTGCAATTTACTGTATGTGGCTCAGGATGTCGGGTTGCAGTGCTGCCTTCTGCTGTGAGAAAGCCATGCGATTGCGGTGGTTCCTTGCAGGTAGAAATAACTGTTCCACGTGTTAGAAAGGCACGTATTGCCATGGAAATAGGCCGACCATCAAGAAAACACCTGGGATTCAGTGAACTTTCCTTCTGATGGTTCTTGGCCACTCCAATGTTTGACATTGCGTATTGGAACCACTGCTAGCTCGTTCATGGATGTTCTGGGCAGTACGTTAGACGAATGGAAGCTGTACGCAGCAAGCTGTCGGTGGGATAGCAAATGGTCATGTGAGCCATGGCCTTCTTCACAGAACCTCCCTACAGAACCGTCCATCAAGACCGCACCGCAAAACCGACCGTGCCGGCGCGGTGAAGCAGGTGGTAGCTGCGCCCACCAAGCAGCGTTGCGCAATGAGCCAGTTGTAGACCTCTTTCTGCGGTGGAGGGTCGACAGGGGCGCTTTCACGTGGACACGTGGACCGAACGAACCGTGGACGTGGACCTCGTTCTGTTGGAATACCAACCACCCAAAAGAGACCTGGTCTCTTCCATTCAGAAGTCCTATCAAAACAAAGGTCATGTCACAATGTGGCTGTCCACATGGGTTATGGCAATGGAGCTTAAACAACTGCTTCATGGAGGGGCTTCGATTCTGTAAGCCCTACATTCTTCTAGACACATTTGCAAAGATCTTGGGGGATGGTTGAGGGTGGTTGTCGTTAGAACTATAGAAGATCACTAAATCCACAACTAACACAGTCCCACAGGTTTTTTTCATCCCTTATCCGACATTTATCCTACATGCAAATACAAATCTGGAAATCCAAAGCATTCCAGCCAATCTGTTGATTTTATTGATACATAATTCCATCCTCCAGTCTAAAAGTCGTTTTGAGGGGACCCCAAACCTTGAGCCAAACTTTGGATTTGTCTGGTTGTCCAGCTTGGAATTCCGGTGATCTCGAAAACTCCACCGCCCGCCGCCCTCCCACGAAAAGAAGCAGAAAAAGGACTGGCAAGCTGTCCCAGCGGCTCCAGTCGGCTCCAGAAACTGTTCTTGGAACTGAACAATTCCTTTGGTCCTCAGTCCATCCACTTTTTGCATCACCGCTGCGAAAACACAGCGGCACGTACTCGTCTCTCGAGGTGCCTTTTCTTCCAAACGGGCTGCTTAAGCACAACCTGCAGCTGCCTAGAAGCACCTGGAGATGTTCGCTCTTCCGATGGGAAGCACCGAGATCAAACATAATCAAGGCAGGTCGGTTGATCCCAACTGATGCACTCATCTCCGCTCGTTCGGAACAGACGAACGAAGCCTTATAAGCTTACAGAGACTAGACTAGAAGATTGGCTCTTAAGCTACCTACCACTAGCACCGACCTCTGTTCCGACCTTCTACGTCGAGACATCTTCCGACCCTTCTACGTTGTCACGTCACGTCAAAGAGGACCTCTCCAACATCACTGGAACACCAGTTGTGGCCGGTCAAATGTGGCCATCTGTTGCCTGAGTTGAACGAATTGATTCTTGTCTCACATCCTCCCACTGCTCTATAGTGAAGGTGGGATGGCGCTCGGATCGGCGTCGCAAGCGCCGGTCCATTCCGAACGGGTGGGGTGGGGTGCCGACCGCAGGGGAGCCGCCGGGTGCCTCGTGGAGCCTCCAGAGGCCTTTGAAACCATGTGGGGGGTTATATATTATATATATACAGTCAGGGATCGACCAAGGGTTCGACCTGTTGCCACAACAGGAAGTCAGTGGTCAGCCATGGTCAGCCCTACAAACGTGCATAAGAATACATTCATTCCATTTCACTGAAGCCGTTTTTTTTCCTCCAACACCAAGCTGCAAGGTGTGCTGCGTCCAATCGACCCAGTTCGCTTGCAGTGCCGGTGGCTCGCTCACGTTCCTCAACAATGAAGGCACCAGGTCACCCATGAAGGCCTGTGGATCACTCTAACTCACTATAGCCAAGAGTGCCAAATACTATATGGAAAAATCAAACACATGAATAGCACAGAAGCATACAAAAGCCATGGAATTACTGATGGTTATTCCATGTTCTTCCTCAGTCCACATGTTGGATGGAGTCTCTTCAGCATCTATAGGCCCCCCTGAAACCTCTATACAAAAGGGCATCTACGTCCATCTTCTGGGCGTCAAACAAGTCCATTACTCCACTCCAAGCGACCAGGTGCGCGCCGACGTGAGGCTCCTGCTTCGGATGGACGTCACGTGCCGATGGACGTCCCACAGATTGGAGTCGAAGCACGGAACTGGTGTTGAAGGGAAAGACCAAATAGAAACAAAGAACAAACCGGTGCTTGTCTGTCTTGCTTCTCTTAAAATTCGATTCATTTGGAAATCAATGGAAAATGATGGAACACTCTGAAAAATAGGATCCACAAGTGACGCATCGTGAGACCATTGAAAACCACCTCAACCATGTTTGGAACACCAGCCCCCCTCAAGCCCCAGCTCCACTGGCTCCACCCACCTCTGCATCCACTCGTGAATGAACTTGTGGGCAGAAGCCTGATGAAAGGGAGGCAACCCTTTGCATCAAATATGCACATCATCCGGGCAATGAGGCGACACGCCAGGCAACACCACCTCTTTGTTTGCACGTTTGCACATGGTGCTGTGCACCGTGTCTTGGAGACACAACCCCGAAACAAAAAGGACAGGTGCCTTCATGGTGCCTTCAATGCCCAAGATCGGCATGTCAAGTGTCTCAAGTCTCAGTTCCCAAAGTGCAAAGTGCTACTTCGCCATGTTTCGAAGTTGATATCTGGGTACGTGCTCAAAACTCCGCTGTATCATGGAGTTTGTGCTTGAGCATTGGGCAATACAATTGTAGTGGTTCCAAGCATTTTGTATCCACAATGGAGATGGGAAGCTTAGTTCCTCTGAAGGTTTCTGCTTTTGTATGGCCCTCAACCATGCACAAGGCAGCTGGACTCTCCCTTCCCCCACCGCTTTCTCCACAGAGAGGACCAAGCATGCCGCGTCAAAAGCTCTACTCGTCCGAGCCGTTGCTTTCCTCTTCTACTGGACAACGCCCCCACCGAATCGAAACGAAGGTCATGTAGACTCTCGATAAATAACCCCCCCCCCCATATGGAGAGGTTCTATAATTAATCCCAAATGGGGTGGATTTTTCATCAAGACATTAGTTGGAGCCCCCAAAACAACTGATTCCGACTTCGTTGGATTCCTCCGACTTCTCTCCGACTTCGTCCGCATCCACCGAGCTTCCAAGGAGGCGGGGCTGCAAAGATACTCCGAGACCTTTTGATTCGTCAAGGTCCTCGGTCCGCCCGCCGACAGTGTCCGCGCGGTGGACAGTCGTTGGGTCTGCGAAGGGATCTTGAAGTGTAGAGGTTGAGGTTGCTGGATCGATGTGAATTAGAAGGGTTTAAGGTTCCCCTCGCACTCAAAAGGCTGGTGGTTAAGGTTTGTGGATGATCCTGATGATTTGGTGTGCTCACGATCAACTGTTTTGAAGGTTCCACCCCCCTTTAGACCTCTGATGTTGGTCGAGGGGTCCAATGTGCAGATCATGAGCGATGTCATGCCCGGCGATCTGCTAAGAATCATTGGATGTTAGGATGTTCAAACCTTAAATAACACAAGAACTTACCGAGCCAACATCTACCAAAATAACTTCTAGCCCTGTGCACCAACAAAGGCCGATGGTTTCTCTCGCGACAAGGCCGCTTTTTGGCAGAGTCACTCCGACTTTCTACCGCGATAAACCTTTGCAAAAGTTGATCAGGAGTGTCCGAAATGACTGCAGGCAAAGGTGGCTAAGCTGCTTTGGCCGGGAGTATGTCGTCTCAAAAACTTCTTTATGCAGCACAAAAATAACCCTCTCGGTCCAAAGACCCAGCACCACTATCTAAATTTTTCTGGTTTCCCCATTGAAATCGATCTAAGCAATCAAGGATCATCCCAAACAGTCCCAAAGACATAGGTTCCTAACTTGCTGAATCCTACGTACAACATCCCCAAACCGAATTCTCGCCAATCAGAACACCTTCAACTCCTTGGAGACACAGCAACTGAGTTAAACATACACTGCTTGAAATAATCAGAATATCTCCAGTACTGAAGACTCGGATGACCCATGAGTCTTCCCGTCTGACCAGGTCCAGGTGGTGAACTCACTCACTCACTCACTCCACGTCCATGATGACTTTCAAGGGAGTGAAGCGAGTGTATGTCCTTCCTCCAAGGCGCTGAATCTTCTGAATCACCCCCGGCCTCATGGTCGATTCGATGGGTTTCTTTTCAGGCGGGGCGAGCAGGTGTGGACTAAAATGACAAGGCGCAAAGAGAGAGAGAGAGAGAGTTAGAGTTAGAGAGAGAGAGAGAGAGATGTTCATAGGGAGAGAGAGGTTCGATCGCCAATGGGTATGGGACTTTGTACCAAACAAATCACATGCCAAGATCGCCACACTGAACTGGTCCGGGGAAGACTGCCGGGGGGGGCCTGGCATCGGATGTGAAAAGCTTTGTGTGAACAAATATGGGAAGGTCGGATTTTGGTTTGTCATTTGAGGTCCATCATTATTTGACAGTCGTATCTTTCGATTAAACCCGGAGGCTTATCTCGCGATAAACATATTGTGGATGTTTTTGCAAGTGTGATCGCTGATGTTCACAAACCATCTACATCTTGTGGGTCTTGCGTGACCTCCACGTGCTCTTGGGTTTTGGGACCTCAGGGACACCAAATCACGTTTGTGAGCTCATGTTTGCTTATTCATCTGGAAGCAAAAACAGGAGCTGGAGACCAAGAGCCACGAGCTCCACAAAAAAAGTTCAAGAGTAGTACTGGAACTGCCAGTATTCCAACAGTTCCCTCAATTTCAAGCCATCAAATCCACTTTTCCGGACTCAAAACCCACAATCCCTCAAGGCGATGGCGATATCACACGTCCCTTGCTCAGATCCCGATAGGGCAACAACCTATCCGTCCCTTGATCGTGGATCACTCTGTGATCATGTTAAGCCAGTTTTTCATACTTACCGCTTGCCCTCGCGCCCGGGGCATGAGGGGTTACCTTCAGTCTGTCTCTGTCCCAGGGGCAAGAAGTGGGCGAACTGCGTCCAGAAACTACCCGAGGTGATCTTCAGCTCCAGCTTCGGCGTGGCTGAGCGGAGTCCACGTGGCTGTAGGACCGGGTGATGAAAAAATATGCGACGGGTGATGCAAAAACCACGGCCTCAACACCATGTCTTTTGTTTTTTCGGTGCAAGCGGTCGACCGCATTCTTTTGGAACAGACCGCACATGGAACGAAGACCGGACCAAGGCTGAGGACTTCAACCTCTGGCCTTTTGTGATGAAAGATGGCTTCAAACGCTCCCAAACACTCCATGTATGGTATATTTACCTACATTGGGGTGATTTGGGGGGGTCAATGTAGGGATATATTCCATACATGGAGTGTATGGGGCTTGTTTGTTGCTTTCATGTTGTAGTTTCTTTGTTGGGTTCAGTGTCAATATCTGTGGGTGACGTTTACATCTAACAAATCCAATCTCTGGCCGTTTGAGTTTCATTCCACATACCAAATGGGTGCTACCATCCCCAAGAAGTCGGCCCTAGGCAGGTTTCTGGCGATGAACTCTCTTCATCCACAGCAAATTCATCTGAATCATTTGAGTACTACCCACATGGAACCTGAAATTCTGACTCCGATCCAGTGGATCCAGATTTCAGTCACAAAGATGTTCACAGGAAGCCCACATCTGCCCACCCGTCCAAAAGTCAAAGCTCTTAACACAAGTCGTTTGAGAGGGGTCCACAAGTCACTGGAGGTCACGTTACCAGTCTTCCAGAAATCATGACGGTTAACTGACCGTGGATGGGATACTGACCCCGATGTTGGATAACCGTGAAATCCTAATATCAACCCTATCAAATTACTTTCCACTTCCATCACTGCCATGTTTATTTCAGGGATTGCACCACTGCCAAGACACCCTGGCAATTCAGCAAGCCAATCCTTGCACGATTGGCCGGAAATAAAAGGACACGAACGGACGATCTACCCTCCTCCAAAAAAGCAAAGCCACAGGGATATTTCCTGTATGGTGCTTTCAGTGTGGTTTGTATACCAGGTGTCCTACAGTAATTTTGATGAGTTTCATCAAGCTTCCGCCCACCACAAATCAATTGCCACCGCTACCATCCGCTGCCCCCTCCAACTACGCCCTAAGGCCGGCAACAAAAATAACGATTGGCTGGACTTGCTTGGTCGTGTCACCGTGGTGGTAGGTAGAAGTTCTAATGCCAATCTGCCATACGATAAAGTTGTTTTGAAGGCTTAAAGTTCTGAAAGCACTTTCCAACTTCGAAAATTGGACTTTCAGACTAGACAAAGAAAGGGTGAAGGTAAAAGAAGCATGGATGGCCTGCGAAGCAGCCAGGAAATAGGAAAGCACACTTCATGGGGGGGCTGCACAGTAGGTGAGTGCTGAATTTACAACACATCCACTTAGCCAACTGGTTGCCAAAAAGTTGTTGTTTTCTTGTGTCATCTTGTGTCATTACATTCCTGATACATTCCTGCTCAAAACTGGCATCTGAATCTAAACTAGCCAAAATTGTGAATGCATTGAAATGAGTTGTCCTGAAAATGCACTGAAACGAACATCCACAACTTTGCCTACTTTGCCCATGAAATCCACCTGATCCTGATCTCATGATCAACACTTCCCTTCGCCAATTGGGTCACTCCAAGCTACTCGGGGGCAGCCTCTTGGCTTAGGCTCCAAGGCGGTACTAACCTCGGCCAATGTCGTCAGTTTACGCGAAGCGGTTCCCGACAGATCGGTTCCGGTTCGAAGGTTCTGCGGAGGACTTTACGACCCGATGTCAGTTGCGGAGCTGCCCAGTTCGGCTAGCAGTTGTGCTGTGGAACCTGCTGTGGAAATCCAGCTTCGATGCCATCGAAGCCGGTAGAGTAGAGGAGCATCTTTGAACAGTGACACCGCGGCGTCGCTGTTCGTCGCAGCGTCGGGACTCAGGCAGGTGGAATGGCCCAAGACCATGACTTGTCCTCCTACACCTTCACAGGATGAGAGTAAACTACAAACAACACGAGAAGTATATTGGGAGACCAACTCCATGTGCGTGGGGGGGTCTATCTTAGGACGAATGGGTCGGGTGCCACCAGTGACTTAATGGCTCAGATTATGGCACTCACGTCTTGTCTCAGAAAAGGTGTCTTTCTTATCCACCTGAAAGGAAATTCTCAGAAAGCAAAGTAAACCCCTTCAGGCCCCTATTTCGGTCACCGAAGCATACTGAACCCCTCCTCCCTCTGGGAGGACTGTGCTGCACCTCGCACCTCGACTCCCAACGCCTGAGACTCCCAGGCAGCTCCACTCCGCCCGCGGCGCCCGCGGAACGGAGCTGCGCGTCGGCGACGCCGGACAAGCCCACGGAGGTGGAGTACTCCACCTGTGGGGTGTTGGGTCGGCTTCGGGTCGGCTTCGAAGCCGAAGGCGGCCTCCAACCGGTCTGGTGGTCCAAACACACCAGTCTGGTAGCACTTCTCAACTCTGAAGACAAACCGTCCATGGCATGGGCTGAGATTTTGGGACTTGGGTCGACCCAAAGTGGGTCGACAGTCAGGCTTCTGCCCCCTAAATGTTGAACGCAAACACTCTCCAGAAGTTCTTGTCATGATTTGTTCGAAAAAAATAGTTAAAAAGGAAAAAAACATGGCAAACCCCTCAAGGGCAGGGCGTAAATCAAATGTCCAACCAAGAGCGGTACAAAAGAATAAATACGAGAGATATGTCTGGCTGTTATTGGAGGAATAGACTTCTATTCGCAAAGCAGACTTGGGGTCGTGGCTCTTGACAGTTCTTGATACAGTATATATTATATACACAGTTGAGCGGCTCAGTAATGACTTCTACTCCGCCAAATCCTTACATGAAGAATCATGAAGACAATTGGTCCATTCTGGCTTGGAGGGCGATGACCCAAGGAACGTTCGCCGTCAGATTTCACCAGCAATCCATGTGTGCAGGTGGAGTGACAGAACGACAAGGGCAACTTGCTGCGGAACAAGAGACCTCCATGTCCCCCCCCAAAGACAACTGTCTTCCCCCAGCACCAACCCAGTTCGAACGGTTTATGGAGCCCCCCCACGGGGTTCGTATTTCTGTTGACATCCAAGCATCCCACAGGGTGGTGCAGTTGTGCGGAGGCTTCTTGCAGTGTCGGGACAAGGTGATTTTCCCTGAAAAAAAAAATGGAATCCATCCTGCGGACCGTGTCCCAGGTTCAGCCAGCCTCCCCGGCACAAAAGACCGTGATCTTCTGGGTCTGCACTGACACTTGCAGGCCCTGCCGTTCAGCAGCAGAACATGGGGCTGGAATGAGGAAGCAATTCGTGTTGTTACGGGCTTAGGGTCCAACATTCGTTTTGCTAGAACTCAGAACTATTCCGAAACATGTTTTATAGTGACTGACTGGGAAAAAACATGTTAAGTGATTTGGTTCGGATGCCTATACTTACTCTTCCTTGATTCGCAACTGCTGATCAAATCACTTCCGTATACCACTTCCCTCATTCCGTATACCACTTCCCTCATGGTCTTTGAATCTTCACTGTCAACGATTGCATGCTTCGCATGAGCATTCATGTATTTGTGACCAAGAGCTCTAACATACCAAATTTACCTACCCAACGCATAAATACAAACACACAAAAAACGCTGCCACATAAATTCACCCGGCACCCATGCAAAATGCCGTGAACATTCATGAAATTTATTTGATTTCTTCAGCATGCCCGGGCTCTGCCTAAAGAAACACAACCATCCAGTAAGAGGTCATAAGAACTCTTGAATCCCCCTTATCCCCCCTACTTCATTGTTGCTGATTGGGCTGCTGACATAACCTGACCTGAATGTTGGTGATGGCCTGCCGCATGCGTGGCAATCCATGCGTGGCAATTCTTGTTACTACTAGCGTGGCACTTGTTTCTACGTTCGCTTCTTGTTGGAACGCCGACACAACAGTCCCTGCCGTTCTTCCACCGTTGGCACCCGCTCCTCTTTGGCAGCATGTGGTGTGCTCTCCTGGCGAAAGAACCCGGCTTTGTTTGTTGTCCGCTCCTCTTTGTCTTCGTTTTTTGCATTTTTTTTGCAACTGGCACTTGCCCCAGCGGATGTTTCCGGCCTTGGTATATCGCGTGGGGGTTCGAAAGTACAGGTTGACCAGAGGGAGGCCAAACATAGGTGGTCAACTTACCGATGGGCATCAAGATGAACCACAGTTGAACTGTTCTGGTCTTCTCGGAGGTCACTGCACCCCATCAAAACAAAAACACCTTCTTACATTGTCTTCAGAACTGGCTGATCAAAATACAGTTTGGTGCTCCAAATATCCACTATAGTAGATGCAGCCAAACGGTTACAGAAAAAGCTACCCAAGTACAGTAGTAGTCTAGGGGTATGTCATCCACTTCACATGGCGTATTGACCATACCTGGGTTGAACCAAAGGCAGGCCCGGTCAAGCACGCTCAACAAAATGAATTATATATTGCTATAAGTTTAGTCATGTTATTTTGGAGTAGATAGAATAAATGACATGAACATCCATAATGGGGGACGACTGATCGTGCTTTCGGATTGGTTCATATTCTATCTTCTCCAGGTATACAACATATATCAACATCTATTATGTATGGCACTGGTACAGAAGGCGTGCAGTGTCTGATAATGGTTAAACCACTCAAGAGGTCTCTGCCAAGCGTCAACATGTCCAACCTGGAAGCCCTCACAAACCTTGGTGCTGAGACCATTGGGTGTTGGCTTGTACCAGAACCTGCTGTGTGGAAGGAAGAACATACAGTAACGCAACAAATATAATTTGCGTTTGCTTGCTGTTTGGTATCAGATTTCATGGTGATTTCAAGGATCTCAAAAAATGGGGACATACTGGGAACCCAGCCTCGGCCTAAAGTCCAAGGCAAAATACGTTGACTGGTGAACGTGTTCCATCTCAGTTGGCTTGGTCTCTGATGTCTTCCTTTCAGTGGGTGTCAGCGTGTCCTTCTCAAGAAACCACAAAGGGAGGATATACAAAAGGAAAATCATATCATGCCTATCTCTGAGGGTTCAGATTCAGAATCATATCGTTACGTTCTGTTATGTTCTGTTCTTCCTCAAGGTAAAAACAAAACCAATGAAGTACCCAGACTCACCCCTTGAACGAATTTCTGCCCAGGCCAACAGAGTTCTGCAAACCTTGGAGAAGTTCGACATAAAACAACGAGCATTCCAGGAACCCCATGAACCTCCAGAATTCCAGATACTCAGATATCTGTGTGCATACCAAATTTGATCGAAGCCTCTCGTGGGCTCTGATGAAAGGCACAAACCTGGATCATGTAAGAGACTAAAGACATAGACACAGAAGCGATCCCCATGAACATGTGTCTTGGAATCTTGACTAAGTAATTTCCAAAACACACCTAAAGGCTACAACACCAAAATGCTCAAGCACTAGTCGTGACGTAGCTGCTACAAGTACTTGAACTGCTCGTTTTCAGTCACTGTTTGAGTACCCATGTCCTGTTTGATCCTAGCCTCTCCCAGTCTGCAATCTGCTCCCAGGTGGTGCACTCCGAGCAGCTAAGGAATCCAAGGTGGCTTTCACATGCACCGTGGCCAAGAAGATCTTCACATCCGCCTGTTTAGGTTTCGATCGACGCCGCGCGAGAAAGCTTGGTCAAGCTGGGTTGGTCTGAGGTCAATAGGAGCAGCGCCCGACCTGCAGTACCTGCAGAAAAGCTGGATTGGCGCGGGAAGGTGAAGCTAAGACTAAAAGAGGGATCCCATCACCCTCACCAAGTCCCCAGAACTTCCCACGAATCAAACACACCCGTTGCAGATGTAAAAGACAGCGCTCTAGAGCCCCAGTTCATGTGCACTCACAATTTACATTGTTGTGTATGTATAATTATCAATATATCACTTCAATGTTATTATAGTTTATATGATAGTTATATTACTAAGCCCGGGCTTCGTCTCCGTCTTCACCAGCCGTCTCCGGAACCCGTCTCCGGAACCCGCCTCGACCGGTGGCACAGTGCCCTTGGGCAGCGTCACCTGAAGATCTTCCAACCACTGCTCCAGTACTCCACCTGCGACCAGTTACCCAAATCTACGAAAGCGATGGGTGCGAAGATGGAGTGGTTTGGGGAACTCATGGAGTGTGAACGACTTGGAAGCGAAAGCGTTGGAAGCAAGCGAATCTCACTCTCAGTTGATTGAGACTCGGAGTTCCTACTTTGGAAGATCTTTGCCATAGGTTTGCAATCATGGAAGCGTCCGATTGATCTTCGTCCATAGGGACAGCCACAAAAACCTGTAGGACAGAGCCAGGCAGGGTTGACATATTGAGGATGGCAGCAAGGACACCGCAGGGACTTCAAATGCAGCCTTTGAAGCATCTGAGTCTGACGGATCCTGCCCCCCTGTCCAACTGGAGGAGTGATTCCTTGGAAGGGGAGGGTTTGAGAAGAAGCGTCTTCCAAGCACTCCAAGCTCTTCCAACCACTTGAACAGTGGGTTAGCTTGCTGCTTACTATAATTCTACTCTACTACAACCAAAGATAGGGAGTGTGTTGGTAACGCATGGTTGTTTCCTAACTAAGTGGTCATTGTTCAAGAAGTTGTACTGTAACCCATGCAACATGAATTCATAGCAGTTTGGCATCATTACCCCATCCACACATCACAGACAGCACCAACGTGAGGGTGAGAAGACGAGAACGACAGGAGACCAGTTCCCCGGTGTCGACTTAAGAGATCTCCCAATATTACGAACCCCTTGGGTTCTCATAGGCAAGTAAAATAACGAAGAATCAATCAAATTAGGAGTTTCCAAAAAGAACGCAATAGTAATTATCTAGTACTATACTATACATTACTATACTATAAAATATTCACAATAGAAGTATCTAGGTTCTAAGAGTTTCAGATTCCATCACATATGTCTCCAAAGAATATCGGTCGTCAGCACATGAAAGAACCCGCTGTCGTTATCACAGGCAAGTAACGGTCATAACGCGCGAACGACTGGCTGAGCTTTTGGAACAAAACGATCGGAGTGCGGGCACTGGGCAAATCGGTTTATGACACCGTCTCGCACTGTGCATGGCATGGCTGCTTTGATCCCAGGAGTTATAAAAGAACATGAGAGCCCTGCAAGAACATGCGTTCCACAGTTCCACATGTTCTTTTTGTTGCGTCAAAACTCTTTGCCGATCCCACAAAAAAATCGCCTGCAGCAAGGCCACACAGCAGCATGGCGCATGACGCGCGTGACGCGAAACTCGCCATGGCGCGAGTGACGCGAGTGAGCTGCCGCTGCCGGCGCGGCGTTCCAGCGGCTGGATGTTCTAAGACGTCTTCAGAAGCTGGTTTGGTGGCCGAAAGTGGATCGATGGTCCTCACAGCGCGTTGCCCCCAAAAAAAGGTATTCCCTAAATTGGTTTGTCGAGTCCATACAGGACACCGCAAAGAAGGTCTTGAGGCTTGGAGTAAGGTTTAGAGGGCTCTTCTATTCTCTAAAACAGTCTTGAAGCACCTCGAACTTTATGATTTCGGCGACGGTGTTCGTTTTGGGGGGGGTCATAAAGCACACAAACTCTACTTGCCTGTGATTAGATGCCATGCCAAAGGCTTAAGCCTTTTGCAATTTAGCAGAAAATCCCTCGTAAATTACCGGGGGCTTTTTTGGTTCTAAGAGTGCACCAAAGACAAAAGTCAAGTGCATGAGGTCTTTACTCCAAATGAACGGAATATGTCACCGGTGCTTTTTTTTATCTTTTTTTGGGGTAGTAACAAGTACCACGCTAGTAGTAACAAGTGCCTTACTAGTAGTAACAAGAAGCTAGTAGAAACAAGTGCCACGCTACTAGTAACAAGTGCCTTACTTAATTAATTTTAAAATAGTTTTAATAGCTTCTTGTCAATGCTGGGCCACTCTTCGTTTCATCCTTCCCGTCACCTCCGTCGCCTCACCGATAGCACGTGATCGCGAGCCGGAGGTGCGGCGTTGTGACTCTGCTCTTGGTAGCCATGGAGATGCTCAAATGAATCACAGGCACTCACCATCCTTCTATCTGGTTGTTTCTTTCTTCCTCTGCATCTCTCCTGCCTTCTGAAACATTGATGCACCTTTTCAAGAGTTTATTCTGGGATCATTATGGGATGCCTGGTACTTCCGGGACTTGCTTTGGTCCTGCTCCTCTTCAAACCCAGTGAGACATGGATGCGGGCAAAATGAACCATCCAACACCACCCCAGCTCATAGTTTGCATGGACCCACATCCAACAAACACAAAAGACTTGCTTGGGCTTGTGATTGATGGTCCTTGCAACCTCTCCATTGCAACCAATCCCTGCGGAAGATTTACAGTACCTACCCGAAGTCAACGGCACTACGTTGAGGTCAAAAAAGGATCAGTCACAGATGGTCAATCTATGAGAAAGAACACCCTTCCAATGCAAACGAACAACAGGGTGGGGATGTGCCTTTGAATCAATACACTCATCCTTGGAGCAAGTCTACACACTCGTGAGTTGCGCTGGGTCTACCAGTGGAAGAATCTGCTCAGCACCGCCCAGCTCGGCGTGACGGTGCTCAACACCTGGGTGATTGGCGTGGCCATTTTTCGCCATGAGAAGACAGGTCAGGTTTGTTCCATCTTCTTCCCTCCCTAAACCACAGTTTGGCTGAAGCATGTTAGAAGCGTCAGGGCAACAAGCTGATCCCCAGCTGGTGAGGCTCTTCCCAGTTCCTGCGGAGGTCTGCTTCACGGCATCTCTTTTGGAGCTCCCGGTGCCAAGTTCGCGCCCGATTAGACGCAGCACACGAGGGACCGGAGCGAAGTTCAGGCGACCGGGAGTCTCATCTGGCAGAGAAGCCCCGGTTTCCTTTGATCACTTTTCTTAAATCGGAAGTGTAGAATCCCCATCTCCTAGTCACATGATGGAGTGTCAAGTTTCAACTTGAGGCCGTCAAGCCTCAACTTGTTTGAGGAGTCATGGATCAAAATCGAGAAGGGTCTGTATTGTACATCCTTATCTGGCACTTATTTCACTGCCCTGCCTGAGCATGGGACACTGGAAATCACCCTTCTGCTGCAACACAAGCACTCATGTACTTTACTTGCTTGATATTGTTAGCAAGTGGCTTGTTAGAGTCCTGGGCGAAGCCCTATTTACAGTAATCGGCATCAATTTGTTGTTTCAAGCAACAAATAAATGACGGTCACCTGAACTTCTCAAGAGCGGGACGCACCCGTTTCTATTTTCCTCCGCGCTCGGAGAGCGCAGCGTTCCCGGGTGTTTGGAGGAGCATCCTCCATGAAACAAAAGGCCAGTAGTGTCCTTTTCTGGATCAAGTCGAGGCTATCACTGCAAGGTCTGATGGCCATCCCTCATCAAACAATATGGATCCGAAACCAAAATGTTGATTCCCCAAAAAGGAGACTCTCCAAAGTTATACTGTTGACACCAAAAGTCAGAAGTTCTACTTCTACCACAAAGGATCCTTCTATCCTTTCTTCAACACTTCTAGATCGTGATGTGGCTCTTTTCTCTCCCAAAAAACATCCACAGCTCCAGGATCCCGTGACTGTATGTGGCCGTTCTTCGGATGATTTGGGGCTCTTTCACCGAGCTTCAGCCCGCGTCGCAGGACTCGCAGGACTGGCACAGCTCATCTTAGGGGCAGTGGCACCTGCAGCGCCTCGCAGGCCTTGCGGACCGACAAGCACAGCAGCTCGCAGTCCTGGGGCAAAGCAGCGCTTTGGAAAAGAAGAAGCCTGAGGCCATCTGCCTTTGAGTGTAGAGATTGTTTGGTTTCTCACATGTTTTAAGTATAGCCTGCGAGAGATGTCGGGATTCTGCCTCCATCGCGTTTGTCTGCGTGTTGATACACAAGGCAAACAGACCGTTTCTGCCCATACGGACCGAGACATCTCGGGTCCTGATCCGGTCCGGTCACAACAAAAAGACACCATGAAGACACCATGGACGGTCCGGTCCATGATCACCATGTCCATTCTGAAACTGACTGGCCAAGTCGAGGGGTGATACCGTACGACTCGTACAGGGATTTCAAGGGCCCATGAGTGGCTGAGATGTTCCATGTGGATTGGTTGCAACTCCTCTCAGTTGGAACTTTTGTCCCATGCTGCATCGTTTGCGTTGCTTACTGTGTTTCACTGGCTGAAATAGGGATTCGGAAGGACCGCACTATCTAGAAAACAATGGTGCAATCTGTAAAACCAAACAAGTAACTACAACCACAACTTTGCCTGGGTCTAAATCATTTGGAAGCCTAAAGATTCCCTGCCATGGTCTGCCATAGTAGCCATGATAGAACCACACCAAACAGAAAAAAACAACAAAAACACAAACATGAAACAACTACTATCTAATTCTGGTATAGAACCAAAAAGATTTGGTGACTTTGGGTGGGCTCCCTGCCCTTATCTACCAACTTACTGGGTTCCAGAAGATCCTGTCATCCCCATCCGTCCGTTTCTTCTCGATCTGTCCTTGGGGAAGAGTCGGCCGATGATGCCTGAAACCGGAGAGTCAATAGGGTGGAGTGGAGTCCCTCGTTTCAGGCGATCCGGGAGTGATCCAGTCTTGGGATCAACCATCCACGTGGTTCTGCATAAGCTAAGCAGCGAGAGAGTCCTAAAACTTGGACATCATTTTCGATGTTCAGTTTGAAGTCTGTCCATCTCGGGGCTCCAAATACGCTGTCATGACCAGAGGTGAGTTCGAGCTTCATACCGCTGTCACGACCTCTGCTTTTCAGGACGGGAATGCGGATTCGGGTTGCTCTGCCGGGAGCCGCTCTTGCAGCTTAAGGGTTCTGGAGTCATGAGATACAAATGCACTGCCTTTTCTCATGTGCCTGCCTCCTCATGTGTCTTTACATGTCTTTCCTGATCACTCTCACTGATCCGTCTCAACAATCGCAGGTGAATCACCTAAATGAGTTGCCCAAAACCAACACATTGAACAATAAGGACTATATATAGTGGAAATCAAAGAAATTTGTCAGAATTGCCCACATGTTCACCAAGAAGGGAATCCGGAATCCTTGCTTGGATTTCTCTCGCTTCTCAGAACTGGAAAAGACCTATGCAGAAACCCTAACTGGTTTCGGTCAGCGGGGCGAGTGACGCAAAGAGTGAGCCCCAGGCCACCGGACCTATTCTAAAGGAGTTGCCCTTTGACAACTTCCCTGGATAGATCACAAACCTCCGTCGTTCGAGGCCGAAGCCGCGGAAGCTCCAATGCATGACTGTGAGTACCCAAAAAAAAGGGCGTCAGTCAGTACCCTCATCGTTCACGTCGTCTTTCAAATCATCATGACTGTGTTTATATATTTTAAAGTTTATATAAGTTGATTATGTTCACATGACCTTGATCAAGGGTGGCGGACAGCCAGAAGTTCAGGGCAATTTGCGGAAATCTAGATAAGCGCCCGCAATTTGCGGAAATCTAGATGGCCATGTGGCCCTGGATCCTGCCAATCGTGAACAAAAGACCTGCATCTGTTCAAAAAAATACTGCCAACTTGAGAGCATTCTCATGGTATAGCTGGTAGCTATGGGAGCCCTTTTTGAGTGTGTCAAAGCATGCCTTGACAAATAAAGTTGTGAGTTCCAGGTTTCATCGCAGAAAATGACACCTGAACCCACAAATCCTGCACCACATCATCCTACAGAAGCCATCTGGCGGCTTGCTGCACGGGACGAGGGCTGCACGGCAGTACCACTATACCTGGTAACCAGTGGTTCCAAAGACTAAAGCCATAGACCTAGAATCCCTGGTTCCTTATATAGTGGTAACTGGGATGCACTGGGCTATGCATCAATGTCTGCAAAAGAAGTCTCACCAAAAGCCAAGCACAGGCTGGAACAAATAGACACAACACAAAAAAAGAGATGCACGAGTGAATTCAGTACGGGAACCAGCTGCTTCTGACAAGGGACGCATAGTCTCGTCACCACAAAAAGTATAGCTGGGAAAAGCTTTGCAAGGCCTGTAGAGAGGACTTTCATCAGCAAACACCTCTACCCCCAAGCTGCTGTGAAGCAGACCATCACCAAAATTAAAAGGGATACTTCAGGCTGAGAGCTCTACCCCTGCTCCGCCAGCAGATTGTAGAAGGTTTGGAAATGAAATTTCCTGAGCTGCGCCAGCAGTCAGTCATTCAAGGAATTTTACCAACTTCCTTTGAACGAGATCGATAAACCTCCAAAACACTTCCTAAAGGCAGGATACGTCTCAGTATACCTCCTCACGGAACTACAGTGCATAGTATTGATTGGATTGGATACCTCTTCATATTGTTTTACTGTAGATACCTCCAAATCGTGACAAACTGAATTTGCTACTGTTGCCGTCAAAAGGAACTGTCAAGAGTTGGTTCTACATCTGCTCCCTTTCATAATCATTCGGCATATATAAACTTTAAACCTCTTAACCTGAAATGCACCAAGCATGCCCTTTACTACCATGGAGGAACACGACTCAACAGTATATTTTCCTCTCACAGCTGAAAGAACAGTGGATTAGGTCTCAATGGTTTTGATCTTAAATGGGTACAGAACGGTCCACTATGTTGCACCCAAACTAAAGCAATGCAGAGGCTGGCAAGGCCAACCACTTGGAATCAACTAGCAAATGTGCCGTTTCATGGCTGTGACTGGTGTTCTCAACATGTACCGCCGTTCTAACCACCAATTGTATATCCCTTATATAACTCCTGGAGGACTTGGTCTCTTTTTTCCTGCTTAGAACGCCAGCATCAGTCTCTGGAGTTTTCTCCGTTCCTGTCCTTCCCAGCTCTGAACTCCCCGCCCAGTTGTCGACAAACCCTGGCTTTCACTCTGGGTGACCATGCCCAAACCGGCGCACCCCAACATGACTCAACGTTTCTGACTCAACATCCCCAAGGTGGGCCTCAAGGGGTTGTGCAATCCAAATGAGGGAATGTTGATTCATCAACCGTCTAACGCCCCCCCCTGGTTGGGGCCTGGAGCTCGGCTTGATCAATAGGGGGTGGTTACACTCCCTGGAACTAACATGGTTATGTGGATGGACTGGCCCTGAAAGGAAGACCATGAAATCCACTACAAACAGGTGGTGCCATCCACTTCCATGTCAGGGTTTAGGGAGAGTACTTCCAAAGTCTAACCAACATGGGAGAGTTCCAGGGATAGCACTTAATCTTGTGTCAACATGACTTTCTACCTGTGCCTCCGGTGCCACGCCATCGGTGCGACCTTCTCACCCAAAGCCAGCGAGCGCGCCGAACGAACGTCTGTCCCGGGAGCGCCGGAGCTGGAGCCGACGGGCGACGGATGCTCCGGGGTCTTGAAGGTGCAAATGCAATAGGACCTGCAAGCCTGGCGTCGTTTCTTCCCCACAGCCCTGCAGGTGGTGGTGCAGCGGAACCCTGCAAGCTGAGAAAAAAAAACAGTCAGTAACCACTGCAGTTGCCAGTTTGGGTGCATCGAGTATCATCCCCAGCTTGAAGAATATGTTGTATTTTGCTATCTTGACTGCCTGACACAGTATGCCACAGTCTCTGAGGTGATTCAATTCACCGACACCATGTGGTTAAAGTCAGATTGACTTAGGAGTTACTTGTAATATGTCCTTCCTGTACAATGGTGATTGTTGTTTTTTTCCCTTTTTATATAAAACATCATGCTGGCCTGAATGCAATCTTTGTCATGCCAGCGAGTCCAACCTTCAGTCCGACTGTTTGCTCTACCAGCGGCCATACCGATTTGCTGCACCTGCAGCTACAAAAAATACCTGCTGGTATATACTGATGGATTCAATGTGCCACTACAATCCAAGAATATTAAGCATTGGATTATACACCAGTCCCAATCTGACATCACCATGGCCATTGCTGCTAGCTGCTTCATCTATCCAAATCTATTGATTTGGGCACTCTCTCATTTGTTAGTTGTCCTGGATCCTCCACAGAAAGAGTTACTTTCATGTTTTAGCTTCTCGCAACTTCAAACATTTCAAGCACTTGTCGGTACAAGCAAGAGATAGGACTTGTACCCCAAATCCCCAAAGTACTTAGTGGAAGACAAAACACACTCTTTCTTTTGCTTCCAGAAGCTCGCTTATTACCTATATCTATCTTTTAGAATGCTGTAATTAGTCCAGCTGAACATACAATCAATCGATCACTCCACCTGGTTTCACACCCCGCTCACATCTGGGCGACGAGTCAAAGTTGCCTGCCCTGCGCTGTCCTGCGCCGCCCTGCGCCTCCGGCACATAGAACTCGAAGCCCATCTTCTGCATCTCACGCCTGGGGCAGGTCTGCTCAACCACAAACAACATGACCAAAGAAATGGCCTTCAAGTGTTCATCTTCATTACTGTTGAGTACTGTGGGTTCTTGGCAGCAGTGTCCAAGGAGCGCGCATTGGATGGTAGTGCAATTGTTGTCCACTCACGGGATGACACTGACAGGATGAGTCTCAAAACCATCCCAACTTGGAACTCCAAGTTGTTCATCTTCAGGGGAGCTTCTAAAACGTGAGCTCCTAGCTTAAAGACTGGCCGACCAACCTTCCAGTGATCCCCTGTGATCTCCCAAAGCCCGAGCCGACATAATCACATCTTTCGGAATCAATCCCAGTCGATCCATGGGTAAATATGACCGAGCTTCACCACCAAAAACCACCAAATGCAGACCATATTTGCGTAGCCACGCATCGTCTGGGAATGGGACAGCTCCCTTGGAAGAGACCGTGAAAGGAACATAGAAGAGTCCTGCATGGTTTACCAAGAGGCCATGGCCTCCGTCTTACCCTCCTCCACGTCTTAAACATGGACTCTCAAAACCAGTGGGTTGTAGCAAAAAAAATCTTTCGGTCAAGTTCAGGGTTCATGGAGAGTTCGTGACCTGTGGGTCTTAACTGTGGATGTGCTCACCCAAACTCTCATCTCCATCTCTTGTCTCTCGTCTGCTGGTGCATGAGTCTGACCTATCACCTACAGTATCTGACCTATCTGATCCAAGTCGAACTTGATTGTTTTGCTTTCAGTTCCAAAAGGATGGCACCGTGGCAGCCAACTAGAGCCAACTACAAGGCTCTCATGCACAGACTTAGACCCACAGTACTTGTCAAATATACAAACAAACATATATATATATATATACAGGTGGGGAAAGGGGGAGAGGAGTCATTCTGACCCAAAAGGCAGCTCAGTGCCGGGCGCCAGGACCTCATAATTGGCCTCAACATCGCTTTTGGCTGCGTTCACCGCTGCGCCGCTGTGGTCCAGCCGCATGTCAAAGACGCAACGAATGGGAAACACACATGGGAGTGTGGGAGATCAACAAGCAGTTTGGGGGAAAAGACATATGGTTGCCGCTGGTTGCCGGATTCAAACAAGAAAAACACATCAAAACGACAGGGATCCTTGGCATCCTTGATCAATCGGCTGCCGGATTCAAACGGGAGAACGAGTCTTTAAGGCTTTGATAATTGATCATCCCAAAAGTTGTGTGGGGGTGGAGACCGCGGTACTTACGTAGTTGCAACGTGGTGACGGGTTGTGTGTCTATAATTCTACATGAGACTCGTTTCGAAGTTCCGACTTGGGAGTCCTTAGGTCGTTTACACCCTGGTAGACTAGCATGGACCCTGAACACCACTGGTTGGTAGAGGAAAACCATCTGACCCAGAAGTCAGAACGTCAGGGCCTATGTTAGTTTTCGTCTTCATGTATCCTTGGGAGTCCAAAACCACTTGATATCGCTGTCCCTCGCATCGCGGGCGTCGCCCCCCGTCGCACGACCTGCGCGGGCTTCGGACCAGTGGCACGGTATCGAGCCTTGCGCGCGTCCATGCCGCCCTCTGCATGAAACTCCACCAAGGCCTAGCAGTACGCAGGTACGCTGCGCAGTATAGCGCAGTCGCTGATGTCACCATCACCGATCGGTGCAGGGATGCTTAAATGGAAAAGCCTGCCACCTTCCTCCCCCCATGGCCTGGTGGTTCCCAGGCCAAACGCCACACATATCAACACACACTGTCCAGTGATCATGATGGGAAGCATGAAGCCCATGAAGTTCGATCACCACGGACCGAGCCTGCTTGAAGGCTAGGATCGCATGTGTGGGGGGGCGTGTAGCGGAATTGCCTCAGCTTGGAGAGTTGCGACAGCTTGAGGACATGTCATGTCAGGAAGTCAAGAAATGGGTGAGCACATCAGCAGGATCCAGGTGTCGCAGCGCTTGGTTTTGGAAGAGTCAGACTTGGGGCATTAATAGACTACACTTTTGGGGGACATAGTGTATATATATAACATTTGGGGTGAATCTCAACTTGAGGATGATTCATACCTCGAATCACATGCATTATATTTATCATTGTATATAATATATATATAAATATATTAATATATATATATATTGCACTCACACACTCCTGTTTTCGGCCAGCTATCTGAAGGTTTCAAATGTTGGTGTCTCACACCAACATACCTTTGGTGGAAATCAAGGCCTCCATGGCCTAACATTCCTTAAGGTCACCTGC